CACTAATGGGTATCTATCCAAAGAAAACAAAATCAGTATATTAAAGGGATACCTGCGCCCCCACGTTTATGGCAGCACTATTCACAATAGCCAAGGTATGGAATCAATTTAAGGGTCCATTACAGATGGATAAGGAAAATGTGGTATATATACACAATGGAATACTATTTGGCCATTAAAACGAATGAAATCCTGTCATCTGCAGCAACATGGACATCACTGGGGGTCATTATGTTAAGTGAAATGCGCCAGGCACAAAAAGGCAAATGTCGTATGTTCTCACTCATATGCTGGGAGTGAAAAAGGTTGATGCCATGGGATATTTTTAACTTAACAAAATGATTCTAGATTTCATCTCAAAGAGCCAATAGGCAACAAATAATGTTTAAAACTATTATTAAAACATTATTGCACTATAGTGTTACTGATATAAGAATAGATCAATTGAGTCACATAGATAGTCCAGAAACAATAGCTGTTATATGTAAGAATTTAATATATGGTAAAGTAGGCTAACAAATCAATGAAGAATGGAAGTTCTATTTATAAATTATATTGGGGTAGCTACCTGTAAACAAAATCAAATTAGATCCTTTATCCAATATCAAAAGAAAATTCCAAATGGAATTAAAGAGTTAAATGTAAACTAACAAAACCATAAATCTGCAGCAAAAACTGAAGTGAAGTTTTATGACATCTCTGGAGGAGAAAGGACTTTCTGGCAAAGGAAGCAAGGAAGCAAAGGAAGAAACCAAACCCAAAGAAAATGAATGATGGATTTGACTACTAATTTCTTGTGTGTCAGAAAAAAAGTAATGACCAACACCAAACTGATAAAAGATACCTGCAGCAGATCGAGGATTAGTATACATACATAAACTTCCAATGTGTTAATAAAAACAGTAAGATCCAAATGGTTAAATGAGAAAAGTACACTAACGGCCAATTCATGAAATACAATACCTTAACAACCATATAAAAAACACTCAGTCTCTAACCAAAGAAACATAAAAAGGGAAAAATAGAGAGAGAGAGAGTGCAAATATAAAATAAAGACAAATAAGAATACCCATTTCTAGGATGGGTGCAATGAAACAGACACTCATACATTATTGATGAGTGTATAAATTGGAATAATCATTTAGAAAAAAAAATTGATCATGTATATATCAAGAATCCTAAGCTGTTTGTGCTTTCTTACCTAGAAATTCCACATCTCCAAATCTACTATAAGGAAATAATCATAAATACAAGGAAATCTTAATGCACTGAAATATGAATCCTGACGGAATTCCTGATGGAATTTATAATAAAAAATGGAATGATTCAAATGTCTAAAAGCAGGTGACTGCTTAAGGAAAATATGGTATATTCACTAGCTAGCTGGACTATCACACAGCCATTAAAAATGATGCCTTAAAGTCATTTTTAAAAACATTATACATGTGTGGGGTTTTGCATGTTAAGTGGGAAATACAACAGAATGCAATATTGTAAGAACACATGTGTGCTCACAAGCAATTCATTTCATTAAAATATAGAAGAAAATTCACTTAATTTTCAACAATAGTTGTCTTTAGGTTATAAAACTATAGATGATTTTCCCCTCATTTCATTTTTCAAATCCTCTCTAATGAATACGTATAAGGAACTATTTTAATAGATTTATTATACAAAACTCTAGATTCATTCAGAGAAAACGATTGAAAGAAAAACTTCTCATTTTTAATGAAAGTGAGCAATCCTATAAATGGAAAACTCCCTTAGTGCTTTATAAGATTCAATTTTCTAAAACTGAACAGAAGAAAAGGCCATATCTGAAAGCTATGATTAGAGGGTTCAGAACTGGGGAGAAGGGCAAGCATAGTTTGAAAGTCATATGAAATTGTGTTATTTCTATAATAAAATATAGAAGCTAAAGCCCAACCAAATCTTCTTGATTAATAAAAGTAAACAAAAGATAGAATGAGAAACTGTTCTGAGTGAACCCCACAATCAATGCATGTTTGTTAGTTATACCTTGTTGTTCATGTGTATATAACACCACTTACATTGTTATTTATAGTGCGTATCATAAGCTTAAGTGTTTTGGTTTAAAATGAGTACATGATTTATTTCGAAATAAAATTTGATTCTGTAATTACAGTGTAGTACCAAAAAAGAGGGAATGAAATGTTTATCAAAAAGGACACTTGGCTCAAAAAGGCTGAGAAACTCTGATAAAAGGCAGTGTACCCTGTATCTTGCCTATGCAGCACAGTCTGGCTATCACCCTGACAGTTTCATGAGACTTTGAGGCCCCAATATACCATTCAAAAGGGGACCCCCAATTTGCCTAGTATTTTCTCTTAGTTCACAAGTTTTCATGGAGAACCAAGAGTTACAAAAACTGCCTTTATGCAAGATTCATTATGGGTGAATTCCTCACCAGTCTAAATTAATTCTTTATGTGGTTCTAACCTACATGGACAGAAGGCTAAAGTTGCCCTTCTCTCTTACACGTTTTACTTACAGCAATCTTTTGCAGAAGGCAGGTTACACATCACCATTCCTGTTTTTATAAATACGGAAACTGAGGCCCAGAGAATTTGAGTGACTTCCCCAGAGCCACACCCTGGCCTCCTGATAGCAGTCCAAAGCTCTTTGCAGTAAAGAACAGAATTTGCCTTGACAGTTTATTCATTAATCCAAAAATATTTGTTGAGTGCCTATTATGTACCAGGCTCTCAAATAAGCCAACAAGCAAACGTCAGATAGTTTAAAGCTCCTGGAAGAAAAATAGAGAGATAGAATGTAACAGGGACAGAGAGAGGGCACTTATCTAGATAGGGTAGTCAAGTAAGTGCTCTCTCAGGGAAAAGACAGGTGAACAAATGTGTGAATTGATGTATTTCTGGCAGAAGGAACAATAGGTACAAAAACCCTACATGGAGAGCATACTTGTCTTGAGAAACAGTCCAGAGACCAGTGAGGCTGAAGTCTTAGGTGTATCTTGCCACTCACTGTCCCCTGTTCTCCCTCCCCTGGCCAGGCTTCTTTTGTACTTTCATTTTACCTGTAGGTTAAGGAGCACATTAGCTCCTCTGTCAGCTTCCTTAAAGCAGTGACTCCCCCTCTTGACTCCTCTACCTTCTTTTGATAAGAAATGAGTCTAAGAATCGTAGCTGGCTTTCATTGCCCTTCCCTAGGTTCCACTAGGGAAAAACAATAATTAAGCAAAACATAAAGATCTGAGCTCAAGAGATTCAATAGCTTCCATGTATTTCCCTTGAAGCCTTTATGAAAAATGTATTTAGCAGGACCTGAGAGCTGCCACAAACAAGGCTCGACTGTTTTTAAAAACCATATACAATGAAAATCCTCTAACACCAGCCTTAGTATCATCTTTCTTCACTGACCCGGAAAGTTCAAGTTTACTTCAAAATCTTGCAGTGTATCATCAGGTGCTAAACTTAATACCAAGCATTTTCTCTCATTTGGTTTCTGTCTAGAATCTATTATGCAGGGCTAGTGTTTTCATAGGTGTTTTTATTCTGCTGATGACAATGTTTTAGCTAGGTCCTTCCTTACAAATGACCCCATGAATACTAAAAGAAATCAACTGAAAAGAGAATATAATAACACTACCAATAGCTTACATTTACTAAACATTTACTATGTGTCCAGTCCAGTGCTAATTTTTTTACATACATTATAGCATTTAATCTTACAATCCTATGAGGTAGGCAGTGATGTGATATCCATTTAATGGATGAGAAAGCTGAGAACCTTAGAGATTAACTTGCCAAGGTCACAAGCCTAGCATCTGACTAGCACAGGATTAGGTCTCAGATGTGCCTGACCCTGGAGTTCTGGAACAAAGATGCAAGTGCATCTTATTCAAAATGGAGCCTTAGACTGAGACATACCTAGGCAAAGGGCAAAGCTGAATTATAAAAAGGGTGTTTTCCCTCCATGCCCTTTATGACTATTCTCAGTCCCAGCTTTTATCAAGAAGGGTCCTGGCCAGGCGCTGTGGCTCAGGCCTGTAATCTGACCTAGCATTTTGGGAGGCCGAGGCAGGAAGATTGTTAGAGGTCAGGAGTTCGAGATAAGCCTAAGCAAGAGTGAGACCCCCTGTCTATTAAAATAACAAAAATTAGCTGGGCATAGTGGTGCATGCCTGTAGTCCCAACTACATGGAAGGCTGAGGCAGGAGGATCACTTGAGCCCAGGAGTTTGAGGTTGCCGTGAGCTACAATGATGCCACTGCACTCTAGCCCTGGCAATAGAGATCCTTTCTTTAAAAAAAAAAAAGGTGGGGTACTATTTCTGAAACCCCCTGCCCCCCACACTGCTTCTCTAAAGGAAGCTAAATAAACAGATTGAGAGAGGCAGTTTCACTCACACACATCTGCCTCTCAGTATCCCGACCTCACTGGTGTTACATTCTTAAAGTAATGGACTCTGTTTCTTAATCTGCCTCCTCTCACTGAATTTGATGCTCTGCCTTTGGGATGACACTTCCAACCCCGTTTAAAGAGAGCTGGAGAGAGGTTCTTCCTTCTCTTAGGAGCTGATGGTGTCAAATCTGGCCAGTCCACCATCCCAGGACTCCATCTTGCTGGCCTCTACTAGGGGTCAAAGCAGAAGTCAGGAGCCTGGGTCTTTCTTAGAGTGAAGGTAAATTCTAGGCGACATTTCCCCACCCTAGAGAGCATTCTCTGCAGCTACCCCAAAAAGGCCCTGGTGAAGCCCTTCTAGAGAGCAGGAGGCCCAGGGAATGAAATCCCTAGTGAGGGACCTAGGCCAAACCGCAGTCTACCATGGCTCTGGGCTGGACCTGAAGAAGACTTGGGGCTATGGGGTGGACCATAGAGGAGGCCTCAGTGAGCTCCTTCCATCCATGCCCCAGCCCATGTTGGCCCTGGCCCCGGCCCAAACCGCAGGAGCCCACTGCCCACACCCTCGGCAGGCCCAGGATCAGTGCCCACCTGGGCCGCCCACCGCCTCATACTCACAGCACACACAGGCAGTACACGCCTGGGACGCTCTCGCTGTCCCTCAGCAAATAGCTGCCGTCCAGCCCCGTGGCGAGCAGGAGCTTCTCCCCTGTTTCCCTGCTGATTTTGCCATGATACACAGTCACCGCGTCCATGGCCTGATGGACTCCTGGGCGGGCTAGAGGCAGGGGATGGTAAAAGGGAGATGCCGCTGCTACTGCAGCCAGGCACGAATCAGCCACCTGACTCCCAGTACAGGCAGATGTGCAAAATAGAGAGAAGCACCCGAACAACAGGATGTTGTCTACCTTCCTTAAAACCTCCTGCTCACACTTCAATAAAACCAGCTCAGCAATTTAGCAGTTTGATTCCACTGAACTTGCCGCAGGGTTCAATCTCCCGCCCCCCGACACAGGGTTCATAGGAAGAAGGGAGGCACTTTGGAAGGAGGACCTTGCAAGATTTGGGCTGTATTGCCAACACAGACCCTTGCACACAGACAGGGATATCTGATAATATTTCTGTTCTTGCAGTTTTCTCAGGAGCCACCAGGGATGACTTAGCTTCACTAGTCCCCAAAGGGGTTGATGATAGAGGCAAGTTGTACATGCTTCTGTCAGTATGTGGGCCCATCATGTGGCGCAGAAACGTACCGACAAAACGAAAGGACCAAAAGCTCTGATAACAAAACACCGAAACTATCAGTATTATCCGTGTGTAATCACTACTGAACATGGCCATGAGGCTCCTCCAGAGTCAGACATAGTATGTGAACAACAAACCTTGGGCACATTGTCCTTCTCCCTTGTCCTCCCACCTCATGCAATCATCTTGAGAAATCTTGGTCCTGAGAAAATATTGGGTTTTTTTCTCCTAACACCTTGTCCAAGATACCAAAGTGCCGGTTGAGGTACAAAAATCACAATGTATGTCCAAAGATGTTCTAGGTTTATCTATTTAATGGGCCTTTGATCAGAGAATAGATCATTTAATTGGTGCTCTGTCTTTATGTGGATTTCTACGTCCCTTTGGTATATAGGGCCCACCTTTCGGCATTTCGGCCGCAAAATGTTTTAAATCATTTTGCTGGTGTTGATAATTGTGCTGTAACTTTTTTTCTCTCTGTTTTCTGGCAAATATTTTTTCTTCAACTTATGCTAAATTGTCATTAATTTTTTAAAACTTTTCAACCTTCATTCCCTTCTCTGAAATAAAGCATTGTTTCTACTTCAAAATGTGCTGGGTAACATTTGCCCAAAACTTCCTTCATTTTCACTAGAGTAAGACTTTTTTTAATGCCTGAAGCTGAACGATCTTATATATGTACCTTTAGATTATATAAAAAACTTTTAAAATTGGAATTTAATAGCTGAAGCTATGGTGTCTGTTGTATCACCTCCACAACTTCAGTGCCTAGTTCCCTGAGAATATGGCAAGGCTGAGAGCTCAATACGGAGAACAATATTTAAATCCTCACATGTCTTACCAATGGATTGGATGCACAGAGCTGCCTTGTGCCAAATTTGCTCTCCATCTGCTAGGGTTAAGAACAATCCTCTAAGATTTCAGTGGTAGCTAGTAGCACCTCTCTTTCTGGATTGAAGAGCATCCTGCCTTAGTAGCTGAAGTGTAAACATAAGCCTCCTACAATCATTTTCACCACCAAGAATCAAAAATAAGCATTCGAGGTGACATTTGGGGATGGTTCTCGGGAATTGGGCCAAGATTACCTCATCACCTTCCTAGCTCACATGTTTTTGACCAACTCCATCTCTCACTCCTTTTCATGCTTTGGATCAAGGAAGAAATTAATCTGATGCGTGAATACCTACTCCATTGTTAAGACCTTGAGAAGTTAGTCTGCCCTGAACTCTGTATTTTGAGCAGGCAAATGGTTAGCCCAGAGAAATTAATCATGAAATCTCAAATATGAAAGGAAAAGACAGGGAAGGGGATCCCTTTATATCAGTCCACATGGGCAACAGCCCACCAGTGAGGTGAACTGTGAGAACATTCAGTATTACATAGGTAAAAACCAAACCTAACCTTTTTTGTCTCTGAACAACTCTGAACAAATCATCCACAAACTTAGGAACAGAGCAACCTGGATCTGACAGCACAAGCATACCATGCATTCTTCTTTTCTTTCTCTGTTTTGTTCTGTGTTGCTAAAATAGCACACCTGTCAAAGCAGCCAAGTACGACAGGGTTCAGTACAACTAAAATCACATTAAAAAAAGGAACAGATAAATTATAAGGTAATAGTACAACTCTCACATCCAGTACCTCATTGTCATCTCACAAGCAAGCTGACAGCTGAGCCAGCCCACTAGTGCAATGTTGATGAAAAATACTGACATCTTCACTCTAGTGCTATACCAGTACTAAACCTGACTTTAGCAAATTCAAAGCTTCACCCTGAGCTTGAAGCATAGAGAACAGAAGAATCAAAATGGCTCTCTTCCCATACACACAAGAGAGGAAGGGGGAAAAATGAAAGAAGAGAGCAATGGAGATAAGGGAGGTACCAATAGAGAAAGAATTAAGAAGAATGGGCCCCCAAGTATAATCTGCTTTGGAGCAGAATTATCTGATTAATTGTTTATTGTCTATCTCCCTCCACTCGAATATAAAGTCCATGATGGCAGGATTTTGTGTCCTTTCTTCACCACTATATCCTCATATCCTCAGTATTTGGCATGTAGTAGACACTACATGTATTTCTTGTGTGAATGAATGAATGAAATTAATGATCTCAAGAAAACAAAAGAAAAAATACTGAAATGATCTTTCTCTCTCTCTCTCTCTCTCTCACACACACACACAATATTGATTCTGTATGCCTCTGGCCCACCTTTGAAATGGCAAGATGAATGCTCCAGTAATTATGAGAGTCTGAACCTCATTTTCTCCATCTGTCAAATGGAGTTGAACCAGATGATCCCTAAGGTCACCTCCAGCTTTAACATTCTGTGCTCTAAATGAAAGCCAAACATGCTTTAGAGAGAAACAGAGGGGAAATGGATTGAACTCATTTATGTGTAAGCAGCAAGACCTATTTCCTCCAGTCTCACCCAGTCTATTTGTTCTTGTTGTTTTAAAATAACCTAAGAAATAAAAATCACAGGGTGAAGGAAGAGAGCTTCACAGTTTAAAGAAAACTATAACATTTTAGAATATAAATGCCATTTAAATCAAATATAAAAGCATTGAAAGTTAGAAAAACTGTCACCCAGGGTTGAAAGTGTCTTCTTATCTAAACTATCACCTCCTCAGAGAGCAGAATGCCAGATACCAGAGGCTGGGAAGGACAGTGGGGAGGGGAGGAATAAAGAGGGGATAGTTGATGGTTACAAAAGTATAGTTAGATAATTAGATAGAATGAACAATATTTAATAGCACAACAAAGTGACTATAAACAACAATAAGTTAGGGTATACTTTAAAATAACTGAAAGAGTGGAATTGGAATGTTCCTAACACACAGAAATGATAAATGCCTAAGGTGGTGGATACTCCAATTGCCCTGATTTGATTAATTCACATTGTATGCCTGCATCAAAACATCGCATGTACCCTATAAAGATATACAAATATTATGCACCAATAATTAAAATATATATTTTTTAAATCAAAAAAAATAAACTTGTCACCTCGTGAGTCTCTGAGAGGTGACAGAATTTTGCATGAGGATGCCCTGTCTGAGGTGCTAATTGTCTTCATTTCAGATGCCCTAGCTATTCTCAAGCCCAGGTAGATTAAAAGAATGATGCTAAGGGTGGTCAGTTTTATAGAGTGGATCTGACATTTCAAAATCTTTTTCTCTAACCTTTCAAAACTAACTTTGTTCTTCCACTAGCTCATCTATAGGTGTGAATTCTCCTGCGACAGTGTTATGATACTGTCATCTGCGGTGAGTTTACACATTCTCTCAGCACTTACTAAAATTCACTTCCTTTACAAAAATAAGAAAAGAAAAAAAAATTAAAGTGTCTTTAGAAAAAAGAGCACCTCTTTTTGATAATATCTGGATTTACCTATGAAGCTAATTTTTCTAAATGCCCTGTTATAAGTGAAAAACCAGAGACAGAATTGTTTATTTAAGCCTGTTTTAAATGTATTTATTATTTCAACCAACATTTATGAGCATCTACAGTATGCCAGACACTTTAGTAGGTACTTAATTTAGAAAAAAGAAAAGCACGCTATCTGCCCCCAAGTAGCTTGTAGTCTAGTGAAGTAGACAGACAAGCAAACAGACAATTACAATTTACTTGATAAGAGCTGAGATAGAGGAAAGGATGGGGCTCTAGGGGCATAATAGTGGCACATTGAACTCAATTTATATGCTAAACCAGCACAGTCTAAGATGGCAAGTTCTTTATCTTTCTGTCTTCTATGTACTATTGCTTTTACTTGTCCTAATTTTACCTCCTTCATGACTCAAAGGAAGCCCCCTAATTCTAGTTGAAATTCTGCCTGCTTCTGAGGTTTTATTCTTGGAATAATATCAGCAGCTAATATTTGTTAACTGCATGCTACATTTCAGGCATCCTGCTAAGCACTTTGAATGTATTATCTCATTTATTTATATCAACAACCCTATGATGCAAATACTATTATTATTCCCATTTTGCCAGCAAAGAAGCCAAAACTCAGAGAGCGTAGGTAGCCCGCCCAAGGTGGCACAAGTGGTCAGTGTCAGGCCCAGGATTTGAACACAGGCCACTGATTTCAGAGCCTGTGCATTTCACCACTGTCCTCTTCTGCCTCCCAACATTAATTGTGAGGTCACTGCCCTGGATTGTTCAGAATTCAGTCTCCTATCTAGCAACTGTAATTTTTTTTTTTTTTTTTTGAGACAGAGTCTCACTCTGTTGCCCTGGCTAGAGTGAGTGCCGTGGCATTAGCCTAGCTCACAGCAACCTCAAACTCCTGGGCTCAAGTGATCCTCCTGCCTCAGCCTCCCGGGTAGCTGGGACCACAGGCATGCACCACCATGCCCAGTAATTTTTTTTCTATATATTTTTAGTTGTCCAATTAATTTCTTTCTAATTTTTAGTAGAGACGGGGTCTCACTCTTGCTCAGGCTGGTTTCGAACTCCTGAGCTCAAACAATTTGCCCACCTCGGCCTCCCAGAGAGCTAGGATTACAGGCATGAGCCACCGCGCCTGGCCTGCAACTGTAATTTTGACTTCTAGAATATTCTTCTTAAACTTCATGTGTCAACCAGCCTGATGCCC